TTCATACTGTAGGTGTATAATATATAATAATAATATCTGAACTATGTGGTCATCTTTCCACTTGTGGAACATACATGTTGAATCCGGTTTTGTTCTAACCACGGTTCTGCTGGTTCTGCTGGTTCTGCTCACCACCTCTACAGCACACCGGAAAGTTCAGTAAAACGTCCAGATGAATGGGTCTGACTGAGGATGGTATGAGCAGTCGGTTCAGATCTTCTATTGTCTTTGTTCTTTGTGCAAAGCTCATAAAACTGTCAGCAGCCACGGAGTCAAATCAGACGGAAAGATTAGGATCTCTATAATAACCAGAACCTCACATTAAAGCCGTCACCACAACACAGCTGCTCCACGCCAAGCGCTGAGATTTAGTGTGTAAATGACTACAGCGAAGGATCAACCCCCGCAGGTCCAACAACTATAATCTAGACTCATCTCACTCAGCGTGAGCAGAGGTCGGTTTAGCTGCAGAGATGAGCTGGTCTGGGTCTCAGTGTCGGCAAAACAGAGGAAACAAGAACCTTCCAGATATGAGACAAAGTTAATGAGCTGATCACAGAGTCACGGTGGTGAAATCAACCACCTCTAAAGGGATCCAGATCACCAGGACAGAGAACCTCCGGGCTTCACTGGGTTTGATTTGGCCAAGAAGCAGCTCAAAGACACTGCTGTTATGGGATTACTCTAATACTACAAAAAGAGGAGGTAAGTTCTGTTAGTTTTATCCTTTGAAGGTCTGAGAACTAACATGTCAGCAAAGTGATCAGCTGTAGTCCATAAGATCTGGTCCTCAATGGGCTTCTGGACTGACAAAGGAAGGAACCGGGCCTTTCATGATCATCAACACTTTCCAACATTTGCTGTCAGAGTTCCTCTGACTCGGTGACAGAAGACTGAAGCTGTTCCTGTGAGACTGTTTGTTCTCTACCAAGCTGACTACCAGCTCTCAGCAGCCGGGCCCATGTGGACTTGAGCTGTATTCAATAATCAGGAGAACGTATAATTGACAGCGGGAAGTTTTCTAAATGTAATTTGTGACACCAGCAGAGAGCAAGTCGATGGAAACTCATAAGCTGCTGACATCATGTGCTGCCAGCGACTCAGCAGACTCATCGACAGAACTTTAAGCTAAGTCAGTACAAATCCAATCGGGCTTCAGTGCATGTTTCTTGGCAGGTGAAAAGACAGAACTGGTGTGGCTCAGAAGAGCCTCCGTCAGAGCCCAGCCGGGTCGTCCCGTCCACACTGAAAGTAAATGGTCTTGCTCATTAGACTGGCAGCGACATTCTTTGCATGCCTCCCTTGTTCTGACCCAGGGGCGGTTTTATAGGCCCATTAGTGGAAATGAGACAGGAGGAAGTGACCGGCCAGTTTCCTGTCTGAGGAAATGCGGCTCTGCAAGCAAACCGAAGGGACAGAACATGGAGGACGTGCTTACACAAGCTGACAGAGCGGACGCTAGCTGTTAGCTGGTCGTCTCTGACATGAGTCGGCTTTCCATCCGCCAAGCCTGAACCACTCATGACTCAAACCATGAGCAGAGTTAAAGGAATCCACTATGAGTGTATTACATTACTGTCTAATGGAATACACTCAGAGCAGTGAAGACAGGAGGGAGTCACTTCATTCCTTGGACTCCATTTAGTTGTGACGTCATGTGACACTATAGAAAGAAAGGAAATGAAATGAGCTGCTGACATCACCACAGATATATATATCTATGGACATCAGCCCAGCAGGGGAATGAAGGCTTTACTGTGTTGATGAAAGACAGCATGAAGGCAATAGGATGGGATCTGGTGCTACTCACTAGTGTTTGTCACATGAGGTGTGAATGGAAGCTGAGCAAAGCGTAACACTGCTGCTGCATCGGTGTGTCCAAGTGACGGCATCAGTCAGCTTCATCATGCTTTGAACATCTAACTACAGCTTCACCAGCAGTAAAACAAAAACGTCCCGACAGCTGTGATGGAGGACAAACGGAAGATTTTTTGTTTTCCTCATCATGTGTCCAAACAATGCTGCTGGATGTTTCCTCACTTTGTTCAACAGCCAAAAATGTGTGTTTAGTCATTTTAAAACATCTTCACTGCTTATCCTGTCCAATAAATGATTTCTCACAACTGAAACATGTCACCTGCCTCGTCAGACCCAGTCAGGTAGCTGTCAGGACATTTACAGAGGAGTGATCACAGCCGATCTCTAATGCTAACACAACTTCAGGAGGGCAGTTCCATGTTGGCAAGTGAAGAGCCCTGTGGGGCTGGTAAAGGGGCATCAGGACAACACCTGCTGTGACGCTTAATGACTGTCGGCCAGTGCAAGTGCTAATTATATCTGGGCTTCAGTTAGAGCAGTGAGCGTGGCTTCAAACAGAGACATTAGCATCGTACAGGAGTCCAGTGGACCCGACTCGTACTAAAGGTTGACCTTGTTGATGGATAATGCTGAATTTGTCAAGAAAACTGAAGACGCTTTAGTGACGGCACACAGAAACAAAGGCTCAGGCTGAAGCCAGCCGTACACACTGTAGGTTGACCCGGTGCTGCACACCAGGTGTGTCAGAAAAGGTCCAGGACCGGTGTCACCAAAGATAGACTTCAAACCCAAACTACCAGCTTCCCCTTCAGACCATCAACCAGCTCGTCCACAGAGGTCCTGCAGCGTTTGCTTCGTCCAGGAGAGGCAGAGTTGTGTCAGGACCAGTGGAGGCTGCGTCACCATGACAACCTGCTCACAGCGCCCTGAGCATCCCACAGCTCCTGCTGAGAAGAACATCTCCTCCCTACTCACCCCACCTGGCTCCATGGGGTTGGTTCCTCCTCCCCAAGCTCAAGGGCTCATCAAGGAGACCCGTTTAGAAGACGTGGACGACATCAAGATGGCTGTGAGGACGGAGCTGAGAGGATCCTGGAGAATCCTTCCAGGAGTGAAGAGAAGGCTGGAGGAGGGTGGTAGACTCCAGGAGGGTTACTGGGAAGAAGAACACTGGGAGTTTGTAGTTTGGATATAACATCTATCTGTTGTGATACCAGTCCTGGAACTGTTCTGACACAACTCGTACGACCCAATAGCGTCCGCAGTGAGTCCCCAGTTTGAGCCCCAGCTGGCCAAGACCTTTACTGCATGTCATCTTCCTAGTCTTCTCCCACACTTCCTGTCTGTCGTCATGGTCTCTTAACATGTCAAAAAGCGACATAACAAAAAAGACAGAACTGTACATACTGTATATTTAAGGAAGCATCCTCATGTCATAGCAACTAGCTGATTAATAATTAGGACAGCATGAAATACAATCCTTCAAAACAGGACTGACATCAGAGAAACTAAGTGATCACCATAAAATCCAGTGAGAAAGTCTGACAGCTATGAACCTGTCAACCTTCTGTCCCCATCTAACGCTTGGTTCTGTATGAAAAGCAGCTGGTTTCCCGTCCTGATCACCACAGTAGACCTAAAACAGAGAATGAATGTGTTTGCTTGTACAGAACAGAAATGGGCACCAAGCCGTCAGCTGACAGGAAGAAACGACTCAGAACGTCTTTCAAAATAAAATCACAGCTTGTCCTTTAACTTTTCATCTGATTGGAATAAAATATTACACAGAAGACTTTAATATCAAAAGATCCTGAAAAAGAAAAAGAAGCTGTCAGCGTTCTGAAGGCAACAAAAGCTGTGCTGTTCTGCCAGAGATCCAGTCGAGCCTGAAAACAAGCTGGCACTCGCAGAAACACACAACACTCCGTGGCTAAAGTTGGAAACCCCACTCGGCCAAATCAGTCCCTTCATTATGCCCAAACACAATGCGCCTTTGTCGGGGAAAGCCCTGGAGGAGACAATGTAGCTGGATTTCTACCCCCCACTGATTTTTGGAGACGAGTCTCGTTCAGAAAACACCAGAGTTTGTAAAGAAGAGGCTGAGAAGATCATGAACCTGAATGAACAACACTTGAGTCATTTTAATACCAAAGGAGGGAAAGTGAAATCCACGAGACGAAGGCCTCGTCCACATGTACACCAGACTTCTAATGAATCTTTATTCATTCTCCAAAAAAGATCTTCATCCACAGGAAATGCAACAAAAGCAACTGAAGTGCTGTCCGGAGCACGCCAGACCAACAGCAAACCAACAACACAGCCCTGAAACCACACTGGCCAATCAGAGGCCTCAAAAAAATCATGACTAGTTTCAGCAGGATACCAACAGCGGTGCACTGAGGAGGAAGGGAACAGAAGTGTACAGCTCTGTTCCTCCACATAGCAGAAGACTGACTATACGTCTATGTGTAGGCGTGTAAAACGTTCAGGTAGCGACACGGTACTGTTCTGGCCCACATCACACACTCTGACTCCCACCAGCCACGGCTCTGTCTGCTCTGTCTACACGTCAACGCTGAGACAAGTCAGTGTTCAGTCACCAAAAACTGTGTTAGACAGCTGGACAACAACATCCGCTCACCTCCAGTGACTGGAGAGGTGGAACAACACTGATCAGACTGAAGAACTCCTGGGTCCAGTTGGAGCTCCCACCTCTGACGGTTAAAAAGGATGCACTATGGGCTCTACAGGTGTGAACGTCAGACAGGTACCGTGCATCCTGCCATAAACAAGTCTAGAGAAAACACTACAGCTGTACTTTATACTCCACCAGCTCTTCTCCTTCAGTGCATTTGATATTTTCTTTATTGTCCAAACACTTGTGACTGTTTGTGTGCATTTACTGTTAATAATTTGAGTGTATAAGATGCACTAGTTTTGTATTTTGAATGTACCTAATGCTACTACTTATGTACCCCTGTTGATCTACTTTATGCATCTGTTGGTTGACACCTGCGGTGACAGGTGAGGAAGCAGACAGGTGATTGGCTCCACTGCTCTGTGTGAGGAAGTGAAGCTCCATCTGTGGAATTCAGACCAACAGGTGAACTGAACCGGTTGGCCTCTGGATCAGCATCATGACTAAAATCATCCAAAATAAATTAAGGTTTAATTTTAACTTAATAGATTTAATTACATGCCTGCGACCAATCTGTAGCTCGTTAAACATGAAGCAGCTGTGAGCGTGCAGAACATCCACTGAAGGAGGGAGTTGCTATAAAACTCAAGTGTTTGGGTTCAGCGGTGCAGGCAGCTCTGCAGGGACGTGAATCCTACAGAGATCTATTGTTGTGCTTGCGACCCCTCCCTCACATATCTGAAGAATGACATCAGCCCCTTCCTGCTTCTTGCCCTGTGCAGAGCCCTGCATGTAAAGCTCCTCTAAACTCACAGCCCGTCACAGCTCCTCTCCTGCTCAGTCCAGTGTGACGTGGGTTTGTGTGTTTCACCAGTTTACACTGACCATAAAACAAACAGCAAAACACGTTTAGGAACCTTTCCATGATATGCATTTTCTTATGGACGGTTTCTTGGCTGTGAGTCAAAGTGTACAATTAAAAAACTGGTGGGATCTACGTCTGCGCTGCACAGCAACATCAAACCCAAACTTTAAAAACTTCAATCTATGGATCCGTCTGTCAGATGAAGGAGAAGCCAAACAGTTCAAAGACCAGTTCAGAGACCCCCTCTGGGTTAGAAACAGTTCAAGGGTTGTCAGTGTGCAAGTGGCTCCCCGGGCCACAGCAGATCAAAGGCCGCTTTGGGAGAGTGGACCGACGCCACACCAAGACCTTGCTCCCTGTTCCCAGCATGGCCAGCGTTTGACACCTCCGCCTCAGCCTATCAAAGCCCCGGCCTCAGGGCACGCTGGTGAAACGGCAGGAGGCAAAACACTCAGGAAGCCGCTTCCTTCCTGCCCAGCCCATCATCGACCAAGAGGCTCCAGCCAGCCCAGTCAGCTCAAACCAGTCAGCAGAGGACAGGACCTCAACCTCAAACACAGCTCAGAGAGGAGCTCGTAGGAAGGAGGACGCTAAGGAGAACAACCTGTGTGAGTCAACAGCACTAAAAGTGCCAGGACCAGGAACCATGAACATAAAGCTTCTGCCATGTTCCCTAAAGGCGCTTAAAGAAAACCAGAACATAAAACACTGCAGAAGTCATAGTTCCTGGTAATATGGATGGAGATCTTAACAATCAGAACCACAAAACGTGCTGGTGGATAAAAACACCAAAATAACCCCATTAGCCAGAAAACTGTCAAACCAGAAAGCATCATCATCATCATCATCCAGACGTCCTTGAACCACTGATCTGTGACGTGATGTTCAGTCTGTAAAACTACCCCAATCTGTCTGAGACTAAAATTCACCAAAAACTGCTAAAAAAAATCTGTGAAAAACAAAAATTATTCAGAAATTCTGCACTTCTCGGTGCAACCAGGAGCCATGACTGATCAGATGTGCCTCAGGGACGTTTTGGTTGAACTGCAGGCTGTGTAGACACGTATGGAAACAGCATAAAGATCCACAGGATGCCGGGTTGTTCCCCCAGAACTGGCAACACCTGTGGGCGCTTGGAAACTGTACCTGCTGATTTAAGGGTTTTTCCATTTTGAGAGAAAAATGTCACAGGAGCAAAAAACACTCCGTAAACTGCTGGAGGTTCAGAGGGTTAATTAACTTCTCACTAAACGTAGCTAAACTTAATTTCTGCCCACAACTTCCTAAGCTCACTAACTCCAGCCAGAGGTCCACAGAGATCAAAGCCAGCAGCTGGAGGTATTTGTGCTGGAGGTGGATATTAGCAGGAACAATGAAAAGGAAGGAGCCCAGGTAGTAAAATTAGACTCTATATCTGGAGCTGTAAATAGGCATTTATAGGCCAGCACAGCAACACGTTTGTCAGCCTACACAGTGAACGAGAGCAGCTCGTGTGCATGAAGGGAAGATCTGCCTCTGAACATACGCACACCGATACGATGGCGGTGGTGTAGACGCACCGCCAGCATGCTGCTCATGTCACTGATGGAACTGATGATGTTAAATGTAGTAAGTGAATAAGTAAAGGACCAGAGAGACGTGCTGCACCGGCTGCTCTATGGATCCACTTCTCTTTGCTCTGCAGCACAGCATGACTGTGGTCCAGATACACTTTGACCCTGTTCAGGACCTTCATGGTGCCAGACCTAGAAGGTCTTTCAGGGTCCATTGGAGCCAAGAAAGAATCTGATGGTGTTCACTACAGACTTTATACGATGTTAGATAAATGTTCTGATACGTTGACGTGTTTTTGGTTCCAAATGCATGACAAATGTTCCTCTTTTTATATTTAAAAGAAAACCTTAAAAAATAAAAAAAACAACAGCTGTCACCTGAACCAAATGGCCTGTGGTCCAACAGAGCCCCAAAGTCCTGAACAGGGCTAAAGGCTTTGTTCTGTACAGGATGTATTAATAATGCATATTCAGTCTGCTGCTTTCATTCTGACGTGACGTACCAGGTACATCACACCAACAGCTCAGACACTCAGTGAGTTGCAGCACATGTACGTCTCATCACATCCGTGCTGTCTGGAGATTCAGACTCTGGCTGTGAGCGATAAGGCAGCATGAACCCTCTGCTAGCATGACTTGTAGCTGCTCCTGAACTGTTATGGACCACATACCGTTCCAACAAGTGGGTAGATGAAGCCGGCCCCGATGCTGGCCCGGACGTCTCTGATTGGCAGAACAAATCCAGTGGGTGCACCCTTCCTGTCGGGCATGTGGGACAGAGACAGGTGGGTCTTGGCCATGCAGATGGGTAATGATCCGTAGCCCTGTCACAGGGAGAAGAGACAGCGCTGCTCATGGGTGTTGGGGAGGTGGAAGTAAAACCCAGAGAGAAGCACAGCGACAGAAGAGGAGCTGAACGAGTCCATGATCTCACCTGTTGACTGTAGTAGTCTGTCTTGGTCCTGGCCTCTGGAGACAGCTCTATGTCATCAGCTCCGTACACTTTCTGGGCTATTGTTCTGATTTTCTCCACTATCGGCATCTATGGGAACGACATCAGAAACAGGTGGATACACAACAGCGCTACAGTCAGAGGGAAGCATGGAAATTAGATTAAGGGAACTGAAAACACACCATTGTGACGTCAGAGTCAAGAGTTCAGCACAATGACTTAAATCCTTCAGTGTGTTGGACTCTGACTCTCTGACTCCTGCAGTGGATGCCTTTGGTCTCCTCTGCAGTCAAACAATACATCTCTATTTGATGAACCCATCATGGCGGCAGGATCACACATCATAACATATATAACATACATAACAACATAGACAACCTCGTCCATGATTCTGGGATCCCCACAAGATCGGCACATCTTGTATTCATTAGTTCATCTCCTGAGCTTGTCGGTGATCTCCTACATTTATCGTGCCAGTGGTCCAGATGAGTGACCATGCTGACACCTGCCTGGTGAAATCAACGTCTAGCTGCCAAATGAAGGAACAATGCAGCTCTTCTGTGCTGTCCATCCAGAACACCAGCACGGGAAGCTAACAGAGAAAGCTACGTGAAGCATAGAGCTCATTTCATTTAACCCAAACTAATGGACTGGATTCAATAAGAAAAGCACCTTTCATAATCCTGTTGTTGGACTTTATGCAGCACACACACACACA